AGGCCTCAGGCTATTTTTGCAATCCGCAGCCACCTACTGGGCATCGTTCCTCCCAAGGATTGGCTGAGATAAATATCCAGGGTTTGCCTCTTCCCACCCAGAACATTCTAGAATCCACCAAAAGGCAGAATCCACCATCTGCCAGAATGTAATAGCTATTTTAAAAAAAATTACCCCCCCCCCCCCCCAGCTCCCACTGAATTGGGACCTCAATGGACCCCTACAAACCTCAGCTACACTGCTTAGAAGGGCAGCAGCCCCTCAGGCTGGGGTTTTCTCCTCCTTGACAACAATCCTGGTTCTCCAGGCCTCAGGCTATTTCTGCACTCCTCAGCCACCTACTGGGCATCGTTCCTCCCAAAGACTGGCTGGATAAATATCCAGGGTGCCTCTTCCCACCCAGGACATTCTAAATTCCACCAGAAGGCAGAATCCACCATCTGCCAGAATGTAATAGCTATTTTAAAAAAAATTAGCCCCCCGCCCTCCCCAGCTCCCACTGAATTGGGACCTCAATGGACCCCTACAAACCTCAGCTACACTGCTTAGAAGGGCAGCAGCCCCTCAGGCTGGGGTCTTCATCTTGACAACAACCCTGCTTCTCCAGGCCTCAGGTTATTTTTGCACTCCTCAGCCACCTACTGGGCATCGTTCCTCCCAAGGATTGGCTGAGATAAATATTCAGGGTCTGCCTCTTCCCATCCAGGACATTCTAAATTCCACCAGAAGGCAGAATCCACCATCCACCAGAATGTAATAGCTATTTAAAAAAAATTAGCCCTCCCCCCAGCTCCTACTGAGTTGGGACCCTCAATGAACCCCTACAAACCTCAGCTACACTACCCAGGAGGGCAGTAGCCCCTCAGGCTGGGGTCTTCTCCTCCTTGACAACAACCCTGCTTCTCCAGGCCTCAGGCTATTTTTGCAATCCTCAGCCACCTACTGGGCATCGTTCCTCCCGAGGATTGGCTGTGATAAATATCCAGGGTTTGCCTCTTCCCACCCAGAACATTCTAGAATCCACCAGAAGGCAGAGTCCACCATCCACCAGAATTTAATAGCTATTTTAAAAAAAATTACCCCCCCCCCCCCCAGCTCCCACTGAGTTGGGACCTCAATGAACCCCTACAAACCTCAGCTACAATACCCAGAAGGGCAGTAGCCCCTCAGGCTGGGGTCTTCTCCTCCTTGACAACAATCCTGGTTCTCCAGGCCTCAGGTTATTTTTGCGTTCCTCAGCCACCTACTGGGAGATAAATATTCAGGATCTGCCTCTTCCCACCCAGTACATTCTAGAATCCACCAAAAGGCAGGAGGAAGCGGTTGAGCCTGCAACCAGCAAGATGCTGCTGTTTTGGGTCCAGCAAATCCCTGGCCCCCATATCTCTTTGTCCCAGGGGTGGACTGTCCATTTGGAAACTCGGGCACTGCCCGAGGGCCGGGGGTCTGTAGGGAGCAGGGGCGGACTGACCATTCAAGCATTCAGGGGGCCCGGGCTCAATGGGGGGCCCCATGAGATGCCCCTGGTACCTATCATTGGCTATTTCATAGGCTTTTTTGGGTGTGGGCGAGGACACAGGGGCCCCATGATCCCCTATTGCCCGGGGGCCCCATGAGTTGTCAGTCCGCCCCTGCTTTGTCCTGCCTTTTTTGCAGTAAAGGCTACATTTCACTGTATAGCTCCCCCTAGCAACTCCTCCATGAGCAGTGTATCCACCACAAGCTTCAGCCAACCATAGTCTCGTCCAGGGGCGGACTGACAACTCATGGGGCCCCCGGGCAATAGGGGATCATGGGGCCCCTGTGTCCTTGCCCAAACTCAAAAAAAGCCTATGAAAAGCCTATGAAAAAGGTACCAGGGGCATCTCATGGGGCTCCCTACTGGCCCAGTGCCCGAGTTTCCAAATGGACAGTCCACCCCTTGGACAAAGAGATATGGGGGCCAGGGATTTTCTGGAGAAGACCCAAAACAGCAGCATCTTGCTGGTTGCAGGCTCAACTGCTTCCTCTCTCATGGGGCCCCCTACTGACCCCGGGCCCTCGGACAGTGCCCGAGTTTCCAAATGGTCAGTCCGCCCCTGGTCTCGTCCATTCCCGGCTGTCCAAACTCCTCCTCGTGTGCCCTAGAGAATGACCACGCCCGGAGCGGCTGCTACGAAGGTTAACTATACCCAGGAGAGGACACATCGGGCGTGCATGCAATCTAAATGGCCTCGAGTGACCACTAGGGGGGCGCAATAGAGTGAAATTTAGCCTGTAACCGTCAGGACGGGGTGGCATGCTGATAGGAGGGGAAAGCAAAGCAGCAAAAAAGAAGAGCCCATCACTGTGTAGCTGCTTCTCCTTCACTGTCCAATCACAAGCTGGGGGGTGGGGCTACGACAGCCTGAGCTCACAGGTAGTCGATTAAAAAACTCTCGCCGTCAAACTGAGGGCATCTAGAGGTGGAGAAGAAGAACTGCATAGGGGCAGCTCTGGGCTGAAGGTGGGTTTTGCATCAATCGCTGATTTTTTTTATTGTATCTTTTTTATTTTTTTTTGAATGGCGTTTGGATTCAAAGCGTCTGCTGAACGTATTACCAAGGAGTTCAAATCCTGAAAAGATTTCTCAGTTTTCCCGTTCTAACATACACCCCCCCCCCCCCCCCCCAACGCCGCCTGGATGGTGTCGGTGCTATTTGTGACTCCGGCGTGTTGCATCACATTCTAAATGTAGGATTTTTATTGCTTTTAATGGATAATAAAACATGAGCAGAGTAGACTGTGTGCAGGAATACATATGTTCTGTTCGCTGCTATCTTTTGATGTTCTTTGACAAATCTGCTTAATCTGCTCTTGGACGGATACACAAATTTAATAACGTAGCACCAACCAATCCCTGGCATATGTTAAATTAGCGCGCGGTACAGATCGACGTTTTATAAGGACGCTTTGTCCGCCGTCAACCTAATTACTGTACATTTTCCGTCGGTGGAAATACATTCGAGTTCTACGGAAAACCAACATTTACGAAGGCGGCGTTAGGAAAGTAACACACGCACGCGCGGCCACCTTACTCCGACTGACGAGTCGGTCTCAGCTCATATCCCTCCAAATGGAAGCCATGCTGAGGGATGACCTGGATACATATTCAGCCGCTGAACCAGTTTAATTTCCAGATTCAGCTGAAGACATCTATAGAAAAGGTGTGCAAAGGCGTACTGTTTGCTTTCTGTAGAAAGCAGCCACAGCTGATGTAGAAAAGCCTGTGTCCTGCCAGCATGCTGTAGAGAAGGGACCCCTTGCTCCATCTGTGGAAACAGTGGTCTTTCTGCAGAGGTCCAACACCTCCCCCCCCCCAGTTCAGACCCATTTCTTCGAGTAGGATGTAGGTTTGGGAAATACCTTTTTCTGCCCCTATGTACAAATCCAGCTCCATAAAGGCATGGATGGGCCAGCTTGGTGTGGAGGAACTCCAGTGTGCTGCACGGAACCCTGACCAGGGGCGAACTGACCATTTTGTGCACTCAGGCACTGCCCGAGGGCCCAGGGTTAGTAAGGGGACCCCATGAGAAACCCCTAGTATCTTTCATAGGCTTTTTTGGATGTGGTTTGAGTGTGGGTGAGGACACAGGGGCCCCATGATCCCCTATTGCCCATGGGTTTGCAGTCCACCCCAGGCCCTGACCTAAACCCTACTGAACACCTCTGGGATGAATTGAAATGCCAATTGTAAACCAGCTCCATAAAGACATGGATAGGCCAGCTTGGTGTGGAGGAACTCCAGTGTGCTGCACGGAACCCTGAGCAGGCTGACCATTTGTGCACTCAGGTACTGCCCGAGGGCCCAGGGTTAGAAGGGGGCCCCATGAGAAGCCCCTAGTACCTTTCATAGGCTTTTTTGGGTGTGGTTTGAGTGTGGGTGAGGACACAGGGGCCTGGGGGCCCCATAAGTTTTCAGTCCACTCCCGGCCCTGACCTAAACCCTACTAAAACACCTTTGGGATGAATTGAAATGCCAATTGTAAACCAGCTCCATAAAAGATGTGGTCTGACCGGCTTGGTGTGGAGGAACTCCAGTGTGCTGCATGGAACCCTGACAGGGGCGGACTAACCATTTGTTCACTCAGGTACTGCCCGAGAGCCAAGGGTTAGTAGAGGGCCCAATGAGAAGCCCCTAGTACCTTTCATAGGCTTTTTTGGGTGTGGTTTGAGTGTGGGTGAGAACACAGGGGCCCCATGATCCCATATTGCCTGGGGGCCCCATGAGTTTTCAGTCCGCCCCCGGCCCTGACCTAAACCCTACTGAACACCTCTGGGATGAATTGAAATGCCAATTGTAAACCAGCTCCATAAAGACATGGATTGACCAGCTTGGTGTGGAGGAACTCCAGTGTGCTGCACGGAACCCTGACCAGGGGCGGACTGACCATTTGTGCACTCAGGTACTGCCCGAGGGCCCAGGGTTAGAAGGGGGCCCCATGAGAAGCCCCTAGTACCTTTCATAGGCTTTTTTGGGTGTGGTTTGAGTGTGGGTAAGGACACAGGGGCCCCATGAGTTTTCAGTCCGCCCCCGGCCCTGGCCTAAACCCTACTGAACACCTTTGGGATGAATTGGATTGCCAATTGTAAACCAGCTCCATAAAGATGTGGCCTGACCGGCTTGGCATAGAGGAACTCCATTGTGCTGCACAGAGCCCTCACCCAAACCCTACTGAGCACCTCTGGGATGAATTGAAATGCCAATTGTAAACCAGCTCCATAAAGACATGGATGGACCAGCTTGGTGTGGAGGAACTTCAGTGTGCTGCACGGAGCCCTGAGTTAGTAGGGGGCCCAATGAGAAGCCCCTAGTACCTTTCATAGGCTTTTTTGAGTGTGGTTTGAGTGTGGGTGAGGACACAGGGGCCCCATGATCCCATATTGCCTGGGGGACCCATGAGTTTTCAGTCCGCCCCCGGCCCTGGCCTAAACCCTACTGAACACCTTTGGGATGAATTGGAATGCCAATTGTAAACCAGCTCCATAAAGATGTGGCCTGACCGGCTTGGTGTGGAGGAGCTCCAGTGTTCTGCACACAGTGGCTCTGAGGAAGAGGCAAGTCCTCGAAACACGTCAGCCTATTGGATGTCTACATTCCCCATTACGGACTGTTACTCAGCGCGGTGTTGACCAGCTGTTCTTTTATGATGTGCCTTGACTTTATTGTCGTTTGTGAGTACAACACCTATTTTATTTCTTATTAAACATTTTTTATGGTAATGCACTAGGCCCGTGCATCCTCTCTTTGTTCTTTCCTCATGCTGGTGGTGGTGTCATGGTGTGGTGGATCCATCCTGCCTTGTATCAATGGTTCAGGCTGGTGGTGGTGGTGTCATGGTGTGGTGGATCCATCCTGCCTTGTATCAACGGTTCAGGCTGGTGGTGGTGGTGTCATGGTGTGGTGGATCCATCCTGCCTTGTATCAACGGTTCAGGCTGGTGGTGTCATGGTGTGGTGGATCCATCCTGCCTTGTATCAACGGTTCAGGCTGGTGGTGTCATGGTGTAGTGGATCCATCCTTCCTTGTATCAACAGTTCAGGCTGGTGGTGTTGGTGTCATGGTGTGCTGGATCCATCCTGCCTTGTATCAATGGTTCAGGCTGCTGGTGGTGGTGTCATGGTGTGGTGGATCCATCCTGCCTTGTATCAACAGTTCAGGCTGGTGGTGTCATGGTGTGGTGGATCCATCCTGCCTTGTATCAACAGTCCAGGCTGGGGGTGGTCTAAGTCATCTAAGAACAGGAAACAGAGGCTACAATTCGTACACGGTCACCAAAATCGGACAATAGAAGATTGGAAAAACTCCTGGTCTGTTGAGTCTTGATTTCAGCTGGTAGGGTCAACAATTGGTGTAAACAACATGAAAGCATGGATCCATCCTGCCTTGTATCAACAGTTCAGGCTGGTGGTGGTGGTGTCATGGTGTGGTGGACCATCCTTCCTTGTATCAACAGTTCAGGTTGGTGGTGGTGGTGTCATGGTGTGGTTGATCCATCCTGCCTTGTATCAACAGTCCAGGCTGGGGGTGGTCTAAGCCATCTAAGAACAGGAAACAGAGGCTACAATTCGTACACGGTCACCAAAATCGGACAATAGAAGATTGGAGAAACATTGCCTGGTCTGATGAGTCTCGATCTCCCTAGAGATGGTTGTACGTGAAAATCCCAGTAGATCAGCAGTTTTTGAAATACCCAGACCAGCCCGTCTGGCATCAGCAACCACGCCACATTCATAGTCAGCTAAGAACAGGAATCGGAGGCTACAATTCTCACAGGGTCACCAAAATTGGACAATAGATGATTGGAAAAACATTGCCTGGTCTGATGAGTCTCGATTTCCCTTGAGATGGTTGTCCGTGAAAATCCCAGTAGATCAGCAGTTTTTGAAATACTCGGACCAGCCCGTCTGGCACCAACAACCACGCCACGTTCAAAGCCACATAAATTCTCTTTTTCTACCCCATTCTGATGCTCGGTTTGAACTTCAGCAAAGTCTTCTTCACCACGTCTAGATGCCTAAATGCATTGAGTTGCTGCCACGTGATTGGCTGACTAGCAGTTTGTGTCACCAAGTAATTGGACAGGTGGGCCTAATAAAGTGGCTTCTGGCAAGGTAAATGGCCTGGGATGGTTCAGGAGGATTGGCCACAAGCATGCCCCATCCTTTTCTTGGCCAATTGACCACATTCTAGGATAAGGGTCTGGTTCAAAGCCACATAAATCCTCTTTCTACCTCATTCTGATGCTCGGTTTGGACTTCAGCAAAGTCGTGTTCACCACATCTAGATGCCTAAATGCATTGAGTTGCTGCCATGTGATTGGCTGACTAGCAGTTTGTGTCACCAAGTAATTGGACAGGTGAGCCTAATAAAGTGGCTTCTGGCAAGGTAAATGGCCTGGGATGGTTCAGGAGGATTGGCCACAAGCATGCCCCATCCTTTTCTTGGCCAATTGACCACATTCTAGGATAAGGGTCTGGTTCGAAGCCACATAAATCCTCTTTCTACCCCATTCTGATGCTCGGTTTGGACTTCAGAAAAGTCGTGTTCACCACGTCTAGATGCCTAAATGCACTGAGTTGCTGCCACGTGATTGGCTGACTAGCAATTTGTGTTACCAAGTAATTGTACAGGTGGGCCTAATAAAGTGGCTTCTGGCAAGGTAAATGGCCTGGGATGGTTCAGGAAGATTGGCCACAAGCATGCCCCATCCTTTTCTTGGCCAATTGACCACATTCTAGGATAAGGGTCTGGTTCGAAGCCACATAAATCCTCTTTCTACCCCATTCTGATGCTCGGTTTGGACTTCAGCAAAGTCGTCTTCACCACGTCTAGATGCCTAAATGCATTGAGTTGCTGCCATGTGATTGTCTGTTTTGCAGTTTGTGTGACCGAGAGAGAATGAACAGTTGGACCCAATAAAGTGGCCGTTGAGTGTATACTATAGTATATAGGGCAGGGCTGTATGACTTTCACTGTAACATTGTTTTTTTTTTACCTTCGCATTAAAAGGTCATAATTATCACACATTCTATCTTCGGCAACCAGGATCCTCCTTTCTCTACGATACGGGATGCGTTGGGTCCCTCAGGACCGGATCAGCCGCCAGTGTTGACTGTCATTATGTTGATGATTCCCATGTAGAAGCACCAGTGTCTTTTCCCTTCTGTATCGTCGAGGAGGACAGATATTCAGAGGGGATTCGGGAGTATAATTCTGTCCTAGTTTGAACATCTGACATCATTATTCCTAATTAGATCGAGAAACGAGAGCCAGGACTGCAGCTTAGGAACTGGTGCACGTCCTATAATGGAAGGCATCCTACAGAGTCTTTCTAAAGTTAGGGTGACAGGCAGGAGGTTCTCAGAAATTCAAACTATTCAGGCATCGGGGGAACTGCTCAGCACGCTGATGAAATGCATTAATTACACTACTCCCTTTATGTGCAGCGTGGTGGTGGCATCGGGATGGGCGTCCTAAATACCCAGCCACCTGAATTAAAGGAGATGGAAACCTCAACTGAATGACAATTAGTTCTCTAAAGCAACGTGCACCATAAACAACTGCCACCTTTATATAAAATACGATTTTCATCCTCTCGTCTGCCGATGCTTCCTGTCTACGTGGACTCCAGCGATGGCTGCATGGCGTTTCTCAGGGTGGGTGACATAGACATGGTCTATGTCTATGTGGCAGGGTGAGGAAGGGCCAAGGATAGACTTGTCATCCTAATGTGTGCTGCAGGGTGACAACCCTGGAGGTGCATGCGGGGGAGCCAAGGAGAGGCTTGTCATCCTATTGACTGTTGAAATTGCCACTTGTAGTTTTTTTCGTTAGAAGCCCGTGTGGCAGGGTGACAACCCAGGAGGGCATGTGGGAGCCAAGGATAGAGGGTTGTCATCCTATTCCTAACTTGTGTCTTCATTAGAAGCCAGTGTGACAACCCGGGAGGGCTGTGGAAGGATAGAGGGGCCACTTGTAGTCTTGTAGTTTTCATTAGAAGCCAGTGTGGCAGGGTGACAACCCAGGAGGGCAAGGATAGAGGGTTGTCATCCTAATGTGTGCTGAAATGGGAGCCAAGGAGAGGCTTGTCATCCTATTGACTGTTGAAATTGCCACTTGTAGTTTTCGTTAGAAGCCAGTGTGGCAAGGGTTGTCATCCTAATGTGTGCTGAAATGGTGACAACCCAGGAGGGCATGTGGGGGCTTGCCAAGGATAGAGGGATGTCACCCTAATGTGTGCTGAAATGGCCACTTGTAGTCTTCAACAGAAGCCTGTGTGACAACGTGACAACCCAGGAGGGCACGTGGGAGCCAAGGATTGAGGGTTTTCATCCTAATGTGTGCTGAAATGGCCACTTGTAGTCTCCATCAGAAGCCCACGTGTGGCAGGTGACAACCCAGGAGGGCACGTGGGAGCCAAGGATAAAGGGTTTGGCATCCTAATGTGAACATTGAAATGGCCACTTGTAGTCTCCATCAGAAGCCCACATTGGCAGGGTGTCAACCCAGGAGGGCACATGGGAGCCAAGGATAGAGGGTTTTGTCATCCTAATGTGTGTTGAAATGGCCACTTGTAGTCTTCACATCAGAAGCCCGTTGTGGCAGGGTGCCAACCCAGGAGGGCATGTGGGAGGCAAGGATAGAGGGTTGTCACCCCTAATGTGTGTGGAAATGGCCACTTGTAGTCTACATCAGAAGCCTGTGTGGCAAGGGTGACAACCCAGGAGGGCATGTGGGAGGCAAGGAAAGAGGGATGTCACCCCAATGTGTGTGAAATGGCCACTTGTAGTCTCCATCAGAAGCCTGTGTGGCAGGGTGACAACCCAGGAGGGCACGTGGGAGCCAAGGATAAAGGGTTGGCATCCTAATGAGTGTTGAAATTGCCACTTGTAGTCTCCATCAGAAGCCCACCTGACATCTGAAACCCCTGGGAGTGAAGGGGATGATGCACACAGTCAGGAGGGTGAATTGGGAGTCGGTCTCCGCCCACCACCCACACATCGGGGGAGAGTCATCAGGCAAGCTGCTATATTGCCCAGAGGGTCAGTGTAACACGGGACGTCGGTTCTGTTGCTCGCTATGGTCACATGCAAGGCAGCCCAACATTCATCAATGGGGGATCGGTGGGACATTCCTGTGATGGAAATGTACTGAGACATGGGATGGGAAGAGGGGGATGGTTGGGGTGGAGATGGTCGGGGATTGTGAGGATGCTCAGAGAGATGGGGTGAAGTCTTATGAACCCCGACATGTACGTCTGTGGACAGGGGCGGACTGACCATTTGGAAACTCGGGCACTGCCCGAGGGTCTGGGGTCAGTAGGGGCCCCATGAGATGCCTCTGGTACCTTTTTCATAGGCTATTTTGAGTTTGGGCAAGGACACAGGGGCCCCATGATCCTTTATTGCCCGGGGGCCCCATGAGTTGTCAGTCCCCCCTGTCTGTGGATGTTTAGATGGTAGAACGCTGGTCTTCTGATTTGTATGGATTGTAGATGACCAAGTGTTGTGTT